AAGATTGATTATTATCTCCAGTGTTACCTTTGCGCTTTCCCCCAAATTTCTCAAATTGTTCCTTATGTGCATTGATGGCCTCATCTGCAGTGATTTGGGCCTCAACCCGGTGGACAAGGGCGGCATAAGAACGAACTGTCTCCCGCATCAGTGATGAGTAGAAGGGTCTTGGGCAAAGCCCCCCATGGAAAACCCCCCTAAGGAACTCTGGATCTACTCCTGGAATTTGACGGGCTTCGGTAGAAAACCTGCGGAAGTAGTCTTTGAGTGACTCTCCTTCATTTAGAGGAATTCCCGAGAGATGGAGGTCCTGGGCGAAGCCCCCCAAGGAAAACCCCCCTAAGTAACTCTGGATCTACTCCTGGAATTTGCCGTGCTTCATTAGAAAACCTGCGGAAGTAGTCTTTGAGAGACTCTCCTTCATTTTGACGAATTCCTGAGAGATGGGATGAATCCTTGATGATCCTTCGATTTGCGATGAACTGCTCCGCAAAAAGTTTAGCAAGCTCGTTAAATGTGTTTATAGTGCCCCCCGGTAGAGAGTAGAACCAAGTTCGAGCTTGTCCTTTAAGAGTAGCCGGAAATACTTGACACAAAAGCGCATCAGAAGCACGTTGAATGTGCATGATAGTTCGATAATGATCAATATGCTCGTAAGGGTCAGTTGTCCCTTCATATGTATCGATGCTCGGAAGCTTAAAGCCTGTTGGGATGGGGTGTTGGAGGACCGCATTCGCTAAGGGAGAAGATTCATGGATGTTACGATGAGTGTAGAAGCGATCCTTTTTCTCTAAGGGGAACTCTTCTCGGACGAGGCGTCGTAGTTCATTGCAAATGATATTATCTGGAATGGCGTGAAGATGTAGCAATGTCGGGTGAGCTGCACGAGATGGATGAGTGGAGCTTGCTGTATCTAGGAGTTCAATATCACGACCTAACAGGGGATGTGTTCCTTTCTGAGAAGGCGGGCCGACATGAGTTCCTCCGAGCGGTATGTTTCTCGTGTGTCGCGGAGTTAATGGTAAACGAATTTCATCCAATGGTGTAGGCAGCGGCTGTTGAGCCCCGCGTAGGAGCTGTAGAATCTCTAGTTGAGACTCCTCCATTCTACGCATTCGATCTTCTATTGAAGGACCTGAAACACCTTCATTGGCAGAATAGCGTCTTCCAGGGCGGGAAGACGAAGAAGCATGCCGCCCTTGGCTTCGTGATTGCTCCCTGGAACGATGGGTGTTGGAGCGGGATGCTCCATTATCACGAACATTGTGTCTGGTTGCCATGTAGTATACCGTTTAAGTACAAATTAAATTTTTAAATCAATAATTTCGATTTTCAAATTTAAACTTGATGCGTGCTAGAAAATTCGCGGCAGTAGAGTAATGGTTTATCGTCTTAGCGTTGCACGAGAATTCAACACACACTCAGATAAAAATGAATCGAATTGTGATCACACCAGAAGTTTTTTACGTGGAAAACCCGTAAAAGGGAACAACCACGGGGCCTGGCCCAGTTGTAGAAATCCACTATAAGTTTATGATTACAGATGCCCCTTGTCCCACAGGCGGGAAAGGGTTACTAGCTTTCCACGTTATGACGTC